TATGTAATAATATAGAATAAAAATATACTATTAGTCCGATATTTGAAAATATGCATGCGTTCGTTGTCACTGTTAAACTGTTGTAATAACAATGGAATAATAAAATAATTTACTCAAATGTACATAATAATACATATACATATCCATAAAAACAATATTAAACGCAATAACTGTTTTGTACGCGAAAAAAAACCAATAGGTCCGTCGGGATTCGATCCCAAGACTCCTTTCTAATACGTCTACTCTACAGCGAACGGACGGAAGAAAATCCGTTCGCGACCATGGTCCCTTCGATGATTTTCCGACGTACCAAACACTCATGATCTGACAACATTGCGTACTTTAGACTCGACAACACTGTGGAAGTTAGACTAGTTGAGCTCGAATGGATTTAACGTAGTTCACAAATTCACCGTTCTCATAACGTAGGCGGCGGCAGAAAATCTGACTTTTTACACTATCGGTATTTCAGAACATGAGACACGAAGTCCCATAAGATGATAGGTCTATATTATACCTAGTCGGTGCTTGTATCACTTGTATTCAACAACATTATTTCAATTGCTCCTCGTCAATAAGTTGTTATTGAGATATCTGAATATTGATTATTATAAAAAAGATATAAACAGATTTAGCACCATAATATGTGTGTAAAAAGACCATTTACACACTATCTACATATTTTGCAAACAATAAATTTTTGCTCTTTCATTTGCGAATATCTCATTAAATATAAACGGTGCGATGAGAGCAATTTTTGATTCCGAGGGAGCAAATTGGGAGCAATTTTTTAAGATATAAATTGTTGAGAAACACTAATATTCGGCGCCATCTATTTTTCAGTGCCGACGGCCTTTGGGACAGCGAAGCAAGCATGTCGATAATCGAGCTCGAGCTTCGAGCCTCGAGTTACTTGACTCACCTTGAGATGTTCGAACTTTTTCGAATAGTCGTCAAATAATCTAATGCCCCATCACTGGTTACAGATCCCGAACAATTGGTTCCCAACTAGCTACCTAAATCAATGATCCCTGTTTCGCACTGTGAGGATAATGCCTGTCAGGCTCGGTTAAGATTATTTGTGGCCCAGAGCTATCAAATTTTCGGGGGCCTCCCTCGGTTAAAAAGCGGGGGCGGAAAGGCAAGGCGGGTTTTTTGTAATACAACACAACAAAATACATAAATCTTAAAAAATTCAAATTTATTTTAAATAAAATTAAATAACATTTAATCATAACGAAATAGAAGATCAGAACGGGACCCCCCGAATCGTGGGGTCTGAGATAACAACCCCCTCAAACCGCCCTTTGATCCGGCGCTGGTGTCTGTACTTGCGCGACAGTTCTAAGGCATATCTTTGTTTCAGGGTGCATGTGCATATTTTCTTAAGAGATCTTCGGTATATACCCTGTTGCCATTAGCGCAGTTTCCTTTGTGTAGTGGTCCGGAGGCAGCACGTCGGAAGAAACGCAGACTCGAATGGAAGTCGCAATAAGCCACCCCTTTGATACAAGTCGCGTCACGAACCCGGAGAAACATACCACTTTACTCTCTTTCCGAGGACATTATTTCACTGAAACATCCTCTCCTCCTGAGAATATACACTCCTTTGTTCTCAACAATTATTCGGCATATGCTAAACGGGCTAGCCGATAGAATTTTATATTCATCTATCTCTTTCGTTTAGCAAAGTGGCGCTATAAGCAGATCGATGGTCCTTGGCTTTATTAGTCCCTTCAAGAGGCTGGTGGAATTTTGGTTTAATTTGTTTCGCCACTGGTATTTCGTTTAAGTTATCCATAAGAATAATGTAAGTTCCAGAAAGAAGAAATCGATCATTCGCCGAGGGATTTTCATTTATTTTAATACAGATTCAAGAAAGAAAACATCCGATGAGAGAATAGTATCAATGCGTTTAGATTTCAATTAATTGTAAGTCCATTGTAGGTCCATATAAAAAGGTGGGTAGATGAAATTTATGATTTCATCGATGTAACTTTGGTTACTTCTTTCGGGTCCCCATTTGAAACTACCTCCTCGTGGTGAGACTCAGGCAATCGATATTAATCTCGATGAAGTATTGTAAATCGAGGATGATACCGAGCTAATGGTTGTGAACTTAGAATTCATTAGTATAGTCAGAAGAATGAACGTAAGATGGAACATTTCAGAATATTTTAAGACTAAACATAAAATAGAAAACAATAGTAATATTTATGCCTTCGTATATTCTAAATCAAATTTAAAATAACAATATCTATAAGATTAACGACTTCCTATGCTTTATGTTTCATAAAGTTAATCAACCATGGCTTTTTAGAAGCTCAATTATTAAAAGTATACATACCTACTTTTGTTTTGCTGTTCAAGTTTATATGTTTTTATCGTTTATACGTTTCATTAATAATTTATCATAATACTTTATAAATAGTTTCGACTTATCATTATCGACCAAGATCCGTTTAGCTGTTGGCGACTCAACATATTGAATAATAAAATAAATTGTTCGTTAATTTGCAATTAATCTACTTAAAGGCTCTAATTAAAATTATTCTTTTCTTCATATAATTTTTGTAATTCTTCTTTCGATATATGATCCCACATATGATTCATTTCATCCGCCGATGGAATAACGTCTTTCACTAATTTCAAATATTTTTCGATTGGACAGATCTCATCACATTCATCAAATTTATAAGGTATCAATTCCTCCGTGATACCAGTCCAAAGGAGCATCTAAAAATAAATAAACGTATGTTACTCAATTATTAATTCTATGTTGAAAATAATTTTTCTTTCGTGTAAATACAGTATTTGTAAATCAGATTGAACCGATAAATAAATATACTATTCGTAAGTCTAAGGAAAAGTTAAATATGAAATACTCAATGTGATATGTGAATGTAATTAATGAAATAATATCCACCTTAATAATTAGTATTATTCTACATTATAGAGAAATTACCCTAACAAACTGCTCGCCAGCTTTGTCTCTTAATTTTTCAAGTATAATGGCAGTTCCGTAATTTGGTAGTTCTGGTTCCGTGAAATTGTGAGCTCTCACGAACCCCGCAACATTTGTCTCGTGTCCGCTGTACAAGTAAATCTTTCGTGGTTTTCTACGTTCTTCGTTGAGCTTCATATTTTCAATGAATGTTTTAATAAGCGGACCACCATTCAAACGTCTCATCTGCGGCGTGTAAGAGCGGATTTCATATTCGAGCTTCACAATGCCTTGAATTTTTTTGTACACTTCATCGGTACACCATTTCGGCAGTACAAGATTCATGCTTTTCTGTAACATTATTCCAGAAAGCTTAATGAAAATAAAAACAGAGAAAAGATACAAGTTCCAGTAAATATGTAAATCGAATTAAAAAAATTTACAATTGTTACTATAATTTCATTAAGAGATAATTTAAGAAATAATGACTATACCTGTGATACCAGTAGATTATAAATTTCGTACGCTTGATTTGTTTTCGTTATGTTTAGACCTGTTGTTTCGCTAAGAAATTTAAATAGATCTTTGTAAACTGAGACTTTTTTAAGTACTTCTTCTGACTTTCTTACTTTTTTTAATGCGCCTAAATATCTGTAAAACACATAGATTGTTATTCATTTTGTACATGATCGTCAGTTATCAGAATTGATTTTTCAAATACTTTTATTCGTGCCGTTCGCTTTCACTTTTTTTTCGAGATGAAAAAAGAATATATATGTACTTAGAACAGAATGAATAGAACGCTTACATTGGAGAGAAATCTGGTTTCATCAGATTATCTACTTTCTCCGGCATATAATGCATTGGTATGGGCATCCATGGCATGTTAACATTCCATATCTGCGGTGAATTTGGAGGATAAAGTGCAGCCAAAACCAGTTGGAGAGACATCTTTGTTCGATCAAGGTCGGTACTTCGAGCATACACGTCACTGGGATGATATATACTTCCTAAGAATTTGTCATACCGTTCTCTTAGCATTTCTCCGATACGATATTCTCTCATTTTTCCTAGCTAGAAATTAACGTTATCGATTACCAAATATTTTTCATTTAGTTTACATTACTTTACTGATATTTTCATTAACAATTACATTTGTCATCTGTCCGAGACCCCATGGCTCGTACGTCGATACGCTGTAGGGATCATTCGGCCACAATTCTTTCTCACGTGGCGTTCGTTCTCCATGTCTCAGCAACTGATCAAATATTGAGGAATTGTATGATAAAGTATTACGAATCGATTTTATTATCGTAGTCTAAATTGGAAATTGCGCGACAAACAAGATGATGAAATATTGAGTAAAGATTGAGACTGCCTTATCTTGGAGTAAATGTCATCAACAAAAGAAATGTTTTTGGTAGTTATAAACAATATATCAAAAATAAAATAATTCATTCGCAATCCCCTTAACTGTAAATAAATGAATCGATTGCAAGTTGATTTTAATGCGTACTTACCACCTGCAATAATTCTACTCGAAGTTCTGCTTTCGTTGAATGTTGAAATAAACCTAATACAAAAACGAGTACTGTTAACACTAACTTTATATAAGCCATGTTGCAGAGAGAAAGATGTGAACCGAAATGTGAACTTCGAGAACTATGCTTCATACATGTCACCGCACGATCGCAACTGTATACTAGTAGCTACTATAAAGTGAAGCAACGTTGGTATATTATACATATACTCATGACCTTATCATTCCAGTTCCACGGAGGCCGGTATTGTTCTTTTATATTGTAAATAAATTTACCATTTACGTACGATCTCTGGTCAAAACAATACACATAATAAAAATGTGGAATAAGAATATTTTTTTAATACTTTTCATTCATAATTTATGAAAACTGTATATTTTATTAAGGACAAAATAGAATAACACACTCCAAGGAAAGATAATAAATAATTATAGCGAAGCACTATGTTATGCAATAGAGACTATTTCAATACAATTTTAAAGTACGTACGAATAAACATGTTCACTGAAATTTTCCCGGTATTACACTCTGTAACAATTGTTACGTTCAAATAAATTCGCGCGACAACTAAGTTGCGTCATATATGTTTAATTAAACACTGTACATATATGTATGAGTACACGCTCACGGACAGCAGCACCACCTAGAATTTATATTCGAGATACAGAAAGATAATTACATAATCTAATATAAACGGGCGATAACCAAATATCACGATAGGTCCGAGAAAAAAGACTTTTTCCAGTATTATGCAAAGTACACTTATACATTACGTACTCATATCGCCCGTGGACTATATTCTCAGAGATATATGCACTGAGATATCCCCTTAAGACGAGATATAGATCGGACTGCTTAGCAATTATTGTAGAATCACGTTGACGCAGGTAATAATCCACTATGCAACTAATACCATGCATTGATAGAACGCTACGTAATCAGTACATGAATGAAACAAAAATATAAAAACGTCGCCGCGAGAGGTTGAAAACGTTAGTTTAAACAGACTAACAAAGGAATTCTCTAACTTCCTGAATGTATTACAAAATCTACGAAAATAATTTATTACGTAACATTGTACATCTAAACAGTGCGATCTAATTTGGAAACAAAAATTACATCATGATTGTAATGTGCAATGTACGTTCATTATTTTGTATTCAAATATTATCGTGTTATTCTTCTGAAAATGAAAATTGCAAGGACGACGTAACTAAATTAATATTTTTGCTAAACTTTAGACTAATTTTTATTCACATATAACTTGATATACCCTAAAAACTATAACACATTTCAAGTTTATATGCAAATATGTCATATGTTATTCTGTATAAGATGAATAATATTATTTGTTTAATATTGTGTCTCCAAATTCAATTATACTCTTAAGTAGAATCGTACTTTTTTATTTCCGGGGATCATTTTAGCAATCGTATTAAAATATTAAACTTAATTTTGTACGATATATAATAGAGAAAGTTCATAAAAATATGTGTTTATGGCGTATTAGGCAAAAACTTTTGTAATTATTTTGGCGCGACTTTTTAAAAATTGGAACAGTTACGTCTTTTCTCATCGCCACCTTCAGGCCACAATGAGAATTGAACAGTTTAAATCTCGCGTTCGTGTGGTCCGTGTAACTTCCGCGTTACAATTAAAAATAAAAGTAAAGAATTGTGTTTTTCGAATTAGTATGCGTGAGAATCCATTAAATGTCAAAATATGTGTACAGCAGTAAATCATATCAACTCCACGACATCATTCTAACATTTTTGTTGCCTGATAAATTCAAGAAAAGGTCAGTGCTTTTAATGTTACGTACATTTTCTACATAACGGTTTTGTGCTTCATATACAGAAATTTACAAAAGAACCACATACTTCGAGACTTTTAATTTAAATCCATAAAAACTTGTTTTTTTTTATTAGAATTTTGTGTATACTGAAGGTTTGTTATAGCCATTATTAGGGCGTTTTATATTCAACGGAAACTCAAATTCTGTAATTTAAGTAGGAGACCTCATAAAAGTGTTACTTTATTCCCATGCGAAGTATGGTAATTATATTAGCAAAATTATCTATACTTGTTGTCGCAAATAATATGTTATAATATATAAAGCAAAAATATTTTGTTTCTATTTATTTTAACGTACTTTATAGAAAACTGAATGTACCAGTTTTCTAGAAATTTCATTTACTAGCTAAACTTTTAGTGAAAGTAAAAATTCAAATTGTTAAATAATCGGAATAAACTTGTTACATTTATTTCTGTTTAAATAATTTTTATACTTGCTATAAATTTACATCTAGCAAATATCTTATATTTTTGTATTTTTATATGAATTACGTTATATAATTACGTAAGTACATTGTATGTATTATATTGGCAAAAAGTTAACATCACAAAAAAGGAGTCGTAAAAGTCAAATAAAAAATTCGTTGGTTTATTAGAACTTTTATGCTACCATAGCGAAAATGAGTCGTATACATACAATATACAAAGTAATCTAACTTTAAAATATACTTATATCACTTAACTAAATATTTCAAAAATTCTCCGGACTCTATATATTCAAAATTCTTTAAATATACTTCTCATTTTATGGGTAATAATTAAAATATAAGTAGGGTAACTTTGAGTGCTTATTCTGTTCGAAAGATTACACATCGGTGGTATATGGATTCCTGTGTGTGCATTTTTTTCAGAAATTTAAACATTTTATAATGATTAAGTATGTAAATATGTGTAGTGCGTGCACATATTCTTTGTATTAAACCGTGTTATTTATGATAGAAACGTATATACAAATATATGAATAAGTTTGCTGTACTTAATATAAAAAAAATTGTTGCATGAGTACTTACCTCAAAACAGAATCAGGGAAAAATATTGAGGACTCTGTTGTTGGTTCTTTCTAAATATATATTACATATACAGAAAGTATAGGTTATGTTCAAATAGCCGCAGTTGTCTGTTGTAAACGTAACCATTAATTTGACAATTGTTCATTTCTAAAACTTGGATAGCAGGCGATATTATTTATTCGCTGTATGTGATTTCATTGCGAATATTTTATAGATACAGTAATTATTAAATCTGTAAGATACTTTCCTAACCTTTATTCCGGTATTACATACGATCGGAATATAGCATACAGACTATTTATTTATATAGGTATTTATTTCTTAGAACACAACGATATACTCATACAATAAACAATAGAAGAAATATGGATTATTTTATATGTAACATTGAACCAATCTAAATGAGATTATAAGTGCCAAGAACACAGGATTATGAGAGAATAATTGTGGTTTTAGTTTAATTTAATTATTGTACAATAATTATCAAACTTTGAAAAAATGTCTGTGAAAAGAAAACCAGATACACAAGTGCCGGCAGAAGAAAGTGATTTATTGTCAATCAGACCACTGGGTGCAGGTCAAGAAGTAGGACGGTCATGTATTATGTTAGAATTTAAAGGAAAAAAAATCATGTTAGACTGTGGTATTCATCCTGGATTATCTGGAATGGATGCATTACCATTTGTGGACTTAGTAGAAGCAGATGAAATTGATTTGCTATTAATTTCTCATTTTCATTTGGATCACTGTGGAGCATTGCCATGGTTTTTACAAAAAACCAGTTTCAAGGGACGATGTTTCATGACCCATGCAACCAAAGCAATTTATCGTTGGTTGTTATCCGACTATATTAAAGTAAGCAATATTGCTACGGAACAGATGTTGTATACAGAGTCAGATTTAGAAACCAGTATGGATAAAATAGAAACAATTAATTTCCATGAAGAGAAGGATGTGTTTGGAATCAAATTTTGGGCTTACAATGCTGGGCATGTATTGGGCGCTGCTATGTTCATGATAGAAATAGCTGGTGTTAAAATTTTGTACACAGGAGACTTTAGTCGGCAAGAAGACAGGCATTTAATGGCTGCTGAAATTCCAAATATTCACCCAGATGTCTTAATTACAGAATCTACTTATGGCACACATATACATGAGAAAAGAGAAGATCGTGAAGGAAGATTCACAAATCTGGTTCATGAAATTGTCAATAGAGGAGGAAGGTGTTTAATACCTGTGTTTGCATTAGGTAGAGCCCAGGAACTGTTGCTTATCTTAGATGAATATTGGAGTCAGCATCCCGAACTTCATGAAATTCCCATTTACTATGCTTCTTCTTTAGCAAAGAAATGTATGGCTGTTTACCAAACTTATGTGAATGCAATGAATGACAAAATTAGAAGGCAAATAGCTATCAATAATCCTTTTGTGTTTAAACATATTTCTAACTTGAAAGGTATTGATCATTTTGAAGATATTGGGCCATGTGTAGTAATGGCTTCTCCTGGTATGATGCAAAGTGGTTTGTCAAGAGAATTATTTGAATCCTGGTGCACAGATGCCAAAAATGGTGTTATAATAGCTGGGTATTGTGTAGAAGGAACATTGGCTAAAACTATTTTGTCAGAACCAGAAGAAATTACAACCATGTCTGGACAGAAGCTACCATTGAAAATGTCTGTCGATTACATATCATTTTCAGCACACACTGATTATCAACAAACTTCAGAATTTATACGTATACTGAAACCGCCACATGTTGTGCTTGTACATGGAGAGCAGAATGAGATGGGTAGATTAAAAGCTGCTTTACAAAGAGAATATGAGGATGATCCTAATACCACAATGGAGATACATAATCCTAGAAATACAGTAGCTGTGGAGTTATACTTTAGAGGAGAAAAAACTGCTAAAGTAATGGGCACATTAGCGATGGAAACACCAAAACCAGGACAAACGTTGTCTGGAGTTTTAGTAAAAAGAAACTTCAACTATCACATGCTAGCACCCTGCGACTTATCAAAATATACAGATATGAGTATGAGTCAAGTTATTCAAAGGCAAAGTGTATACTTTTCAGCATCATTACCAGTATTGAAACATCTTCTAACACAAATTGCTGGAAATTTGGAAGTTGTAGATGACAAAAAGTTGCGTGTCTTTAAAAATGTTGATGTTACGATTGATGGAAAAATTGCTACTATGGAATGGATTGCAACTCCTGTAAATGATATGTACGCAGATTCTGTTCTGACAGCAATACTTCAAGCTGAAATGATGGATCAACCACCAAAAGTGTTACCAGCACCTACGAAAATGGATCGAATGCATTTCAAGGAGTGTTTGATAGAAATGTTACAAGAAATGTTTGGTGAAGATTCTGTTCCGAAAATTTTTAAAGGTGAAAAACTGTATGTGACAGTTGATGGGAAAAAGGCACACATAGATTTATTAAATTTAGAAGTAACTAGCAAAGAAGATGAAACTTTTCAACAAATAGTACAAACGGCAGTAACGAAATTACATCAATCACTGGCCCCGCCATGTGATACAATTTAAAAAGTAGTATTTTTACTATACGTACATTAACATGTTTGTTTATAAGATTATTATTTCTTCAATAATATGGACTGTCAAGTAATTAAAATCTGTTTATTTACTGTACAATTCAATGGTATTATACAAATGACTTCGTTTGTGCATTTTTATAAATATAATAGTAACATTGATATATAAAAATATAAAAAATAAATTCATATTTAAATATTTTTCATACAATATCATTAAATTTTGTATAATGTACAATGATTCCTACCTCTATTAATCTATAGTAAACTTTCATATAACAATTATTAAAAATAATGGTGAAGTTATTCTAGTATAAAAATATTTTTATATTCAAATTCTACATCTAAAATAATGTTTGTTTCATTCTTTGAAGTACAATCATTAAATATACCATCATCACATGTACAAGTTAAATATATAATTCATTATTGTAGATTAGAATATGAGCCGTTTATAGGCCAAAGTGACTACCTCCACATTTTGGATTTTTTGAAATTTTAGTGCCAAAGCACTTGATTGATGTGTAACTCATTATATTTTGATATTGTTATTAAGTTAATCACTTTGGTAAATGAATAGCTTATATATAGAATAGTGTAAATATGTAGAATTCAAATAACAGTGAATGTATGCAAAAACATAACATTGCAGATTCAATAAATAACATTGTAAATAGTAAACATTTAAAACATGATTAATTAGGGAAATTATGTTTAGAAGACATACGAATATAATACATTACAGGTTGTATTCAGAGAGATCTCCCCATGCTGGACCAACTTTAAGCTTTACTGGTAATGGTACAGCAAGTTGACATACCTGTTCCATTGATTCTTTTACTATTGTTGCGACTTGTCGTAAATCATTTATGTTTACCTAAAATTATTAAATTTGACATAATATTTGATACATTTTCAAATGTAAAAACTTCCTTAAAAAGGCTTTAATTTTACTTATCTATAACTTAATGCGCATGCGGAGATATGAAATATAACTTTAAAAACTTATTTTGCATTTGGAAATAGTTTTATGTGCGCCACCATATACGTTGTATACAATTTTATGGAACGCGTACCTCATACAGTAATTCATCATGAAGTTGTAATACCAAGAAGGCACCTCGTTGTTGTGCTTCTCTGCTATTGCTTCTTAATTTTCGCGTAGAATGAACAATAGGCATAATAGCGGTTTTTTTTTTTTTTTTTGTAAAATAAAAGTTGCTGAACCTTGAACTTTAGTGTTCACCGCTTGACGTTCCGCTTTGGCTGTATAACAAAGCATTTATAATGATTCGATCATACATATTAAAGCAATGTTTATCATGTATAGATAATAGATAATTAATAGTGTTACTGTTGAAAAAAATTTACACTTTTCTGATGAACTTGTGCTTGTCAAACTGGGAAGTACCCTACGCCTTTCTAGAATAGTTGTTACATATCCATTATTACGTGCTTCTTCTAATGTACTGTTCAACCATTTCGATAGACCTGGATATGCATTCATAAAAGATTCTAAAAACTCTTTTGCTTTTTCTTTATCTACAGATAAATGTTCTGCAAGTGTTTTTGCTCCCATACCATAAATCATTCCGTAACATAATTGTTTTGTATCGTGACGCATTTTATCATCAACCTATCAAAAAAAATATTTAAAATAATTGAAATTTATATTCAACATGAACTGTATTACTAAAATTTCACATACTTGGTGTTCAGATACATGGTTCCAATTTGCTGCAATATTTTTAAAAATATCACCTGGTTTCCTCATAATGTCACACAATGTTATATCTTTGGAAAAATGAGCTAATATTCTTAATTCCAGTTGACAGTAGTCTGCCGACAGCATAATATTGCCTATAGTAGGGACAAATGCCATACGAACACTTATCACAAAGCTGTTATCCTCTGAATTAAAGTCCTTTGGTATATATTGTAAATTCGGTTCATGCATTGATAATCTACCAGTCAATGTGCATGTAACACAATTACCGTGAATACGGGAACTGCGTTGAGCTAAATTCAATATTGGATAAATAATCTATAGAACAAAAGAATAAAATAATACCTTAGACTTTATTTTATTACATTTTTTATACGTTCTAGTAGAATTAAACTACGCTTTTTTAATCTTTTTGAGTACATACTTTAGATTGAGTTCCATTCAATGTACGCCATGACATAACAAGGCTAGCTATAGGATGATCAGATTGACCTAATACAGCTTTATTAACGCTGACTTTCTTTCCTTTATACAAACCTAAGACCTAAGTGATTAAGAGTTCCACAATGAAATTAATGTAATTTAGACGAATTGAACATATTTTAAGAGGATATTTACAAACCTCGCCAACTTCTCTAGATGAAGAAAAATTGAATTTTTTTCCAGACAATGCATATGCCCGTTTTTCTAACGATATCATTTCTTCATGAATAACAGAAGATAAATCTTGTAATGACTTTAAAGAGACACCTAAACCAGTTAATTCCATACATGCTATTAGAGTTACTGTCTTCATTTCAATGTCTAAAATGCAATTCAATATTCCATTAAAATAAGGAAATATAGAAATAGTGGATTCAACTTATGCACGAATATAAATTACATATTACAAATAACATATAACATATTATCACCTTTAAATGTGTACAATAGTGTTGGGCTCATTTCTTTTAATTTATCTAAAAGAATATCTGTTATATGCCATACAAGTACAGTTTCTGCAGATGCTCTGAATTCCCCTGGTATTGAGCTTTTCATATTTAATCCAGGTCCTATTTCATGGCAAGCGCCTATTCGCTTTGTTATGAAACACCCTTGTGGGAAATATTCTTTCACCTATTTACAATATGAATACTTTTTAAAATATATACTGTATTTACTATACAAAATATTACTTAAGCTTGTTACTTTAAATATTTACGATTTTAACTAAAATTGAAAATTTATATATTTTCTTACCATTTCGTTAAAACTTTTCTCACAAACTTTGCTATCGTATAACCAATTTGCTACTTTTGGGTCTAAAAATTTGCAACTTGCAGAAATACCGCAACACTCAAACAAGATTTTAAACGTTTCTTTAGTTGCAAAACATTTTACATGTAACTGTGTATTACCAAGTAATTCTTTTAACAGCTTCATCTGTTCCTTACTTGGAACTTTTAAATCTGTAAGAATATTGCTTCAGTATTGTTTCAAAAGAAAGTCGGTATTGATATAATTTCACGTACCCTGGTCATTGGAGAAGGAAATATAATATGCAATATTACTTTCCCAAGAAATAGCTGCACCACAGACTTTCTTATCTTCATAAACATAATTTTCTGTTTTTTTAGATCTCTTTTTTCGATCAGTAGTGGTTGAGCTAATAATTTTGGAGCCAATAGTATTTGCGTCATTGTTATACAATTCGCAATTTAAAGCCAAGGCAATATATCTTTTCTGCATTACTTCCCGTTTGAATAAATTAAATGTTGGTCTATCGCTTCCAATTTTTATAATATTTAACGTGTTCCAATTAGTGTTGTCATTTATGTTACTGGAAATCTTAGTTTTTGAGCATGTCTCAACAGTTTTTTGTGTCTTTTTTACACTACTTTTAGATTTCTGCAAAAGTTTTGCAGACTTCATTGGAGTGTCATCTTCTGAATTTGAAATTGCGCTATCAATGCTATAATTTTTACGAATAAGTGCATTGTGTGCAAGTATTTCCTTCAAGGTCGGTTTAATATTACATTTCTCGACTTGTATCGCATTTGAAACAGAATTCGAATATTTTTTAACATCGTCCAATACTTCATTAGAAGTTTTTTGAGTATTTACCTTCCTCTTTTTTTCAGACTCCAGTTTACTTCTCATCTTAATACTTGTAGTAGGTGAATGCACATTTTGGGAAGCGATTATAATATCATCTGAGTCTGATTTGTTAGAATCTAATGATAATGCGCGATTTTTGCTAAAAACAATGACACTTGCTACGGGTGATTTTTCCACAGGCATTATATCCTTAAATCTATGTTCTTGTGTTACTTTTTTTAAACTCTTAGGAGTGTCTGAAAATTTTATATCGCGGTTCTTCTTCATATCAGGTGTAGAATGACTTGTTCCAGCACTTGCCATAATATGCTGTATGTTTGTATTTTTTATATTCCTAATACTACGTTTAACTGATATTACTTCATTATTTTTGTCATTAGTTTGATTAAATTTCTCTGTTAATTTTTGTGATTCGTTCCAAGAATCATCGTTCCATGAAAGTAAATTCTGTTTTGCAGACGAGACTGTAATATTTAGAGAATTTTTATTTACGTTCGTAACTTTTATATTATTCTGAGTTCGTGTTTCTATACAATCGTTTTGAATAGTTTGTAAATTTGTTTGTGCTTTATTTTCTGTTGTTAGTTTCGGTTCAGATAATTTAGTTTCTTCGAATTCGGAGAAATTTAACGATCCAATTATATTTTGTTCGAGAACATTACATATTTGTGTATCGAGATTTAAACTATCATCGAACAAACTAGGACTTCTTGAAACTCTTAGTTTAATATTATTTTCAAAACTAGATGTTTGTATAATTGTATTCAAATCTATTCCATCTGAAATTTTTGTTTTTTTAGTTGGTATGTTATTTGAGTGATGAGGACTTTCTGTGTCGTTTATTGGATGCTTAACACTACAACTTTGAAATCTATTATTTTGACTACCTTTGAAATGGATCAAAGATTCACTATTCCGCCTTCTTTCAGAATCATGTCTTATTTTGGGACTACTGTCCTCAAAAAAATCAAACGAAAGTTGTTCGTTTTGTGAATCTGAGAAGTCTGGAATTTGTAGTTGCAATAATTGATCAGTAAGTCTTATACTATCATTTTTGCTGCCTTGAACTAAATTATTCTCCGGGCTACATTTAGAATCTTTAACGTTCTCAGTGATATTTTGATTAATTTTAGATTTTTCATGTTCATGTAATTTATTATTTAACGTGTTTTGTTCGTGAGCAATAGAATTAACATTATTGGTAGCTGATGAGTTTAAGTACTGTATAGTATTTTTTTCAAGTCCATTATTTGTTTGTATCTTATCTTCCGAAGTACATATAGAAATTTCAACACTTGTTTGTATACTTGTACATTTTGTACTTTGAAATGTGTTTTGTTTTATTTGTGAATTAGCTATACTATCAGATTTGTTTGTAATAACAGACTGTTCATTTGGCTTCCATGACATATCCTGCAGTCTCAGTTCATTCTAGAATTACATAAAATAATCGTTATGTTCTAAACTAGTTTAGAAGAATATAATTAATCTTAATCGTAATGATCGCATACCTGAACTAATACTCTGGCTTCATGTACTAACATAACTGCAGCTTCATGTGGTGTTAGACCATCTCTCCCAGTAACGAACACAGTCCTCATTTTATTTCGTTTTACTGCATCTGATTCATGCTCTCCATCCTGTTCTTTTTCGCTAATACATAATTTTGGCCAATATATTTTATAATTATATTATAGTTATTAATATATATTTTATTAATTGTGGTATACCTTTCGAAAGGAATCGCTTTATAAAGTGCACGTTCAACATCAAGTTCATTAGCAGTTGCTAAATCTGCTACATTTGTGATTCCTTGTTTGTAAAGACTTCTCGCACGAAGTCCATTTAACATTGGAAGACGCAATAAATCTAGTAATTCTCTACATACACCGAATTGTAAACGTGCTTGAAATTGAGAAACCAACAATTCCATACAATCCCAACCCAACTGTTTACAAAATTGTGTGACCATGCCTATGCAGAAATGTTAAATATAGAAATGTTAGTACATAGACGCCTTTTCCGTAGAGAGTATTTGGGTAGAAAATATTACCAGCAAATGTAGAAGCAGATTGTTGTAAGCTTTGAAGAACTCCACGACAGCAGCCGTATTTCTTGCAAACTGTGTTAAGAGGAACTTCGCGTACTAAATCATGTAAAGCCAGCGCAGTATAGAATCGCTTATGTATATGAAGCTACAAATAAAGTATACAGATATATAAAATTTGTATTAATTTCAAATAATTATGATATATTTATAATACAGCGATAATTAACAGATAATTTACTGATTTTCCTGGTCGAACTATGCCTTTAATAGCTGATGTTAAAAAACGTTCTTCTACACCAACAAGCTGGCCAACTCTGCGTTCACTTTCTGAAAGCATTTTCCATAATTCTAAGAAAGTCATCCAATCGATAGTTCCAATTTGACTTCCAGAACTGAGGGGTGTCACTAAATATATTACATGTAATTCTGTATCCAAGACAAAACATCGTCTTGCTTTTTGTAGCTCTTCCAGTAAAAACAGACCATCTTTAGGTGGTATCGAAGCAGCCAAACATGCTTTTCCAAAAGCAGTGGCTACCCATCGATGCTCCTCTTCAGTCTTTTGTAAACTAGGATAATATTAAACTTTTTATATAAAGTACAAAAATTTCGTTGAACATAAACGTTTATAAATACTACCTATTAATATACATACAGCAGAAACTCATTGTCTATTAAAAATTTAATTGCTTCATTTGATGGATTGTTTGAGTTGTGTTCACTGTTTAAATTTACTAAAGTACATTTAGTGTACAATTCGAGATCTGATGGAGTGTATACAGCTTCGCTAGCTATAGCTTCCAAAAGTGCTCGAATTAAAGGTCCTGAGTCTTGGAGACAAGACTCGATTGGTTCCAAAGTAGCCGATAACAATGATTCAACTGCCTTTTTCTCATTTGGTTTACACATAAGAATACTTTCACCTACATTATATATAATTGCATTACATTTAAGTACATAGGAGTATGATGTTTCATCTTATTATATTATCTTACCTGCTGTATCTTTCCCCATTCTACCCGCACGACCTATCATTTGTTTGTACGTAAGACTATCTAATAATCTACCACCAAACATTGGAGATCTAACAATTACTCTTCTTGCCGGTAAATTTACTCCGCTACTTAAGGTTGATGTTGCAACAAGTACTCTTAAAGATCCAGATCTGAAATGATTAATATGGGGTTAAAGATATTAAAGTAGTTGTATTTCAATTAGGTAATTAAATACCTGAAAGATCCTTCTATAATATCACGTTCATCCATAGTAAGGCCAGCATGATGAAAAGCAATTCCAAATGAAACTGTGTTCTTAAGCACATTATCCAAACCTGTTGGACTACGTTTTAATTGTTCCAATGTTTCAGAGATTAATGTAGAATCTAGTTGCTGTCTTAAAGTCTCACCAAGCGGTGTATTCTCTCGACCTAAAAAATACAACTTTTAAACAAAGATTTTCTTAATGGTATGGCCATAGCAGTTTTACTAACTACGTATCAAATTATTAAACACACCTAATTTGAAAAAGGCAGCTGCTACTTGTTCAGCTAACTTTTCACACCAATTTTTTGTTGGACAGAAGATTAATACACTATGCCCATCAGATATTGTTTCAATGCATAGGTGAAGAATATCATCTGAATCCATAGTAAGTTCTGGCATTGGTATTAAACTTCTAATAAGACATAACTTATTGTCGTAAATATTTTTACCAAACTAAAAAGAAAGAGATAATTTTATTAGTTTTTAATCATATAAACGGTTCACTTCTGCTTATAATACAGCACCTTGCATTGTTCATTTAAAGGTACTGGTCTAAAGTCTGTCTTGTATAGTTCTGCGTCTAGCCACTCTGCCAAGAGGGATAAATTTGGAAGGGTTGCTGACATACCAATCAATTGTATATTAACATTTTCATCCCTGTAACAATATAAAATTAGATTTTCTGTATTTATAATGATCTGTCATCATCAGTAACTTAGAATATAATTGATTCTCTACTGGTTCAACTGAGTAATGAATGGATAATAGTAAATATGCATTGATTACCTAAGAGTGATATATTTTAATTTTGTTAGAAGTAATTCTAGAATATATCCTCTGTACGGATCGCCAACAAGATGTAATTCATCGATCACTACAGCTCCTAAACTGATTAAATCATTTTCTTCCATTAAACGATTTACTAAAGAATTTGCTTTTTCAATTGTTGCTATTGCAATTTGGGTAGCAGCAAATCCTCCAGGAGGGGTTATACCACCCATAAATCCCTGTACTCTAACACCACTATCAGATAATAAATCCTACGAAATTAAATTCAAAATTTAAAGAATTTAAAATACAGAAAACTTTAAAATTCAAGCATTCACAGAAGAATTAAATCTTACTTGAAAATAGTACATTTTTTCTCTGACAACAGATACAAAGGGCAGAATAAAAATTACTTTCTTTCGCTGTTCTAGTACTGTTTTTATCATGAGAATCTCTGCCACTAATGTTGTTACTGCTGATGTTGGAGCAGAATATACAAGATTGCGTTTTTCGTCAATCACTTTATGATTTGATAAACATTCAACTTGCCATGCAAACATATTTTTTACTCCATGTATTTCATATTTCTGAAAAACGTAATTATCAATTTTTAAGGTAACAGGTAATTTAAAACATTTCATGTTAATGAATGATACGAAGTAAATATATTGCCTGAAGAATATTTGGTGGTAAACCCCAAGAACGTAATTTACACCGATCCTGAGTAGCAATAGTAGAAATAGAAGGATTTATCTCCGTTGATTTTTCAATATTACTTTTTGTAATGCTACTTGTTGACAATTTTACACTGGTTATGTCTTCTATTACATTGTCTGTAGTATCATGTTTTACATTACTGTTGTCATTATTTGCGACAGGCAATTCAGATGTATTAGACTGTTTGAGCAATGTATTTGTTGTATTTATGTTTGATGAAAGATCATCCTTTGTACAATTATTACTAACATTTTCTTTAGTTAGTTTGAACAATCCATTTCTCTTTTTTAAGGAAATATTGCTTTTCATCTTTAGCTTATTCGATACATTGATTTTGTTATTACTGTTTGACCTTGTTACTATACTTTTTTGGAGTTCTTTATAGTCTGAATTATTCCGACTTAAACTAATTTTTGTATCGATTGATCTGCTCAATATATTGCTTTGCTTTGATTGAATTGTTTCAGTGATATCCTTTGACTTATTCGTTACTTCAGAAAGTTGTAAGGAATTATTTTTAAAATATTTTTCCATATCACTGTCATTATCAACAATATCCATATTTTTAACTTCAGCCTGAATACAGGCATTCAACGTATTATCCCCGAAGGATGGTATTTTATTAATAGACTGCATTTTGTTTATTTAATGTTATTTGAATAAAATTATATTTCAAAAACATCTAAAACCAGTCCTAATAGGTTTATACAATTCATGATTCATTTCATTGAGTTTCATTTTCTTACAATTTTTCTATAATATTTACACATAATTTCACAGCACAATAAGCGTTTTGTATGATTTTCCAGTTTAATTCATTTCAATTAATTAATTTTACTAATTTCATATTTACAATTAAGATAATTAAAGTAGTTTTTCGAATATAAGATAGATCATTATATAAATACAATATTTATTTATATACAAAAATAATAAAAATTGGAGTAAACGTCACAAATACTTCATTTTTCATAGCTTGATTAATCTTTCTGTATTAAACAATTTATATAGTGTAAGACCAAAAATGACTGCACAAATAAGTATTCATTTTCACTGCATTTTTTCATTTGGATAAGCATCGATCCTTTATTAAAACCAAAACGGTATGAACAAAACAAAGTTTCAAACGCACGTGATCAACGTACAACCACGCGTCTCAGCTGTCTCAGCTGGTCTCAGCATTGTTGTGTACTGTAGAGTCAGTATCTACTTAATGTCAGTATTTAAAATTGTCTACAAGTACACCACAATAAAACATAAATGTTAGATAATATTGTGAGTCATTTTTGTTTGAAATAAAGGAAATATCCATAAAAAGATATATTTTCCATAACTCCTCAATCACCCTAGAGTCACTATTTGGAAGGCAAATCCTTTCTCACATTACGATACTTCATGGCCATTTACTCCAAAGTGTATATCTTGTTTTTAAACTTTTGGATGAATAAATTATATATATTTGAGTATTATCTATTGTAGCAGCTGTGAAAGTTGATGAAACATAACAATTTTTTAATCTGCTATCGATCGTGCATTAAAGATTACATTCGTTTGATTTATTTTATAGAAATGAATTCCGAAATAATTACTTTTTTCACCTTTTTATATACATATGTAGTATCTATGTAATAAGTTATAAAATAATTTTATAGCTCTTAGGATGTATATATGAGAATTAGAGTATACGTTTCAATGTTTTTGGAAGAGACGCGTGACGCAAAAAATATATAAACCAGGCACTATATACATACATAAATATATAGGTTTTAAAGATATATATTTCTGAAGTTTCAGTTACTGCAGCACTACGCAAAAATATACCAAGTTTCCAATTGTTGTTATATGTCTGAAATCTCTACCTTACGGGAAAAATTCAGTACCTAGAAAACTCTCAAAAAGATTTGTACACTAACGTACAAACTTGGCTTCCGCTAGGAAAAAAAGTGACGTACGGAAAGGGCCTCCTACAGCTTAATAAATTTATTTCAAATATTTAAATAAATGTTTAACCAAATGTTAATTTGGCATAAATTTCAGTAACTCCGAGACCAACTGGTAGGAGGTCTTTCCCTTACATTACTTTTTCCTCTAGCGGAAGCCGCGAGTTTGCTCGCGGGGGTACTTTGTAGTAATGTGTGTAGATTTAGAAAAGAGGACTACATACGTAACTCAAAGGGTATGACCTAAGGGGTTAGAGGATGTAGCCAAATGGGGACGACAATTTAGAAAAGGAACGGAAAATATATATACATATACATCCGTTAACCGTGAATGCTTGACACAAAATGAAGATTCCCTGATGGCTGTTTCTCTCGTAGTGACTGTACACGGGGATCTGCCAGCCGAAGTTTGGGGTAACTTGGCGGGAATACATTTTCCGGTTCTGCACAAATCATTTTACAAAAATTCAATGTTTCTAGCAAAGTAATTGTTACAACCATTAGATATGTAATGTATGTTATTAATAATTTCTTCAAGTATTGTATAATGGAATATGTTATAAGACATAACCACCAGAAAACGAAATATAAAGCAATAATATGAAGTTTGAATTTTGGAGTAGACTGTTCCTTGAAATTAATGAATACATTTTGCTTTAAGTATTTGAAGAGATGGAAAATGTTACTATTTGAATTAGATAGAAATTATTGGTCATTGTAGTAAAATGTGTTTTGGAAGGGTTTAAGTAGTTTTTCTTATTATATGTTGATTATAATAATTGATGGTGCACACGTTAGAATAGAAACGTAATAAAATTTAGCTTGCAATTTTCATGAAACGAAATTTAAATTTATTTTGTACTCTATTAAAGAAATATACATTTTTTTTATTGATACCCGATAGATTTAGATGTGAAACATAATTTTCTTAAAAGTATATAGGATTCTTCAATTAAAACCAGTTTCTCGTGTTTCTATCTGTTAAGATCTTAAATCTTATGTAAGAGTTTGTTTAGAAAAATGGACATTCCTTTAATTTATTTTGTATGTACTCTCAGAACAGTTTTTAAAATTCATAAATATTTAATCTGAAACTAATAGTTTAAAAGTATTCTGCAATTGAAATATCGTTTATTGATATATCGACGAGAAAAATGTATTCATTTTATTAAAATTGTGTATACATACTGTAATTACATTTTTTTGACATCATTGTCGTCCAGAGATTATGCCATCTGTCGGTCAATTTTTGAACATTTTTCGAGACACCCAATGGATAATAGAAATAGAAACAAACATATGTAAAGTGAAGTTGACAAAAACAGTACAGTTTAAAATAAATAAAACACTTGTTTGTCAGAAAAAGTTATAAATAATGTTTTGTGCACAAAGTATTAACACTGTAATTTATAACTTTTTGTTAAAAGTTGTAAATAAATATGGTTATACTTCTAATAATAAAACTCTCTATTTCTGCACGTTGACTTCCGGAAATATTTTTGTGAAAATGTATACATATATTAAAAATTTATAATGCGATACAATTTCTAATATAAATACTGAACAATTTGATTTATTCCGATTGCAATCCAAACATGAAATTCGCTTGATCAGTATAACGTGGACTAGTTTGAAATTGATCGTTACATTATATGTGTATAATCAATTCAGAACGCTGCAGTGTTTTATGCAACTGCCTTCATGATGAACAGTTCGATTATTCTCTTTGAATAGAACATTTTTGAAACAGTGTTCAATCACCTTACTTTTTTTCTATATTTTGAGTATGGTAAAATAATTAGATCATTTAATATTTGGGCGTTCTACGTAACAAATATAAAAATGTATCAAAATTGCAATTACAATTTCTCAAAAGTTCACAAACCGAGAGCGTATAAGTTTAAAAAAATTGATCACCGCTATCTTCAGTCATTACCTATATCTACATCTAATTGGAAACAAATGGTAGCTCGGTCTGAATGAGTAGTTTTAAAAATGGTAGGGATATCCTAGTGACATTTAACAGGGCAGAAGCTGGAAGAACTAAGCAGAGTTATCGTAGTATAAAAATACATCCGGCAGCGTCAGTTGCCCCTTTCAATTTTAGAAGGATGTTGTGACGTTCACCTAAAATAAGAAAACTTCGGATATTTATATAAATATAGTTTTTTGTTTACTCTTTTAAGGGTTCCATCAGGTTCATGATAAGTTAGAAACTCGATTGAACTTTATTTATTTGTTTATTATACCGAGTTCCGGATGATCCTGTACACTATAAATTCGTAGAGTCCGCAGTCTAAAAATAAGTGTGACGTTCTTCGAAGCGGATTAAAAAGAATATTTATTATCGAATGACAGGATCATCACCATTGGAAAATGCCTGTGAATGATCAATGATGAAGGAATCATATCGAGATGACTTTAATTTCACAGCTGAGTAGAAATATGGAAATAAGGTGCACATTCATCGTTCATACTCGACACATTCTCCGTCAGGAAACACGGAGCATTTAAATATTAAATGGAGGATCTTGCTGTGGGATGCGTTGATCAATCGCGCATTTATCAAAATTAACATTTACTATTCGATCCTGCATGTCTCAAACGGTTTACGCTGTGGATCTTCCGCATAACTGAGTACATACTTCGCCGATTTCTCGACGTGTTGCGTCCCGCAGGAAGGTGGCAGACAGGCAATAATGGAATAGACGCTCAATCAAGCTGTAACTGGCACTCGTTTACATCTAATAAGTGGAAAGCTGGAACGGTAATAGGTATAATCGCATCAGACGTAATGTCGCGATGTATGTATTTTATCCGACGTTTACTTGTCACGAACGCGCTTACTCGTCCTCTTTTCTTTATCGGTTTATTAATCAGAGGACAGAAATAAATTAATAATGTTGACACACGTACCGTTTTGTGCGCCGCACGATTTTATCAACTATGAAACTGTTCAGACGGTTTCATAGAACCTTGATGTTAGTTCACAAGTGAATGTAAATAAAAGGACATGAAACTCTTTTAGGTTTTTGTAATATCCAATTTTGCTTTGTAGTTACAGTTTTCTAAATGAAAACTAGCTTACAAAAATAAATTATAAAATTTGTATCGTTACAAGGTAATATTCAAGTTGCTAAAAAAAAAAACTTTGTGCGCATAAATTGAATACTTCTAAATAGTGCAAAGGATATTTCTATATACAATGCATAGGTTGTAAAGTTAAAGGTACTACAGTTAAACATTTCCAGAATTATATAGCAGGGTGGATTAGCTGGTTAAATTATATTTTTTTTAAATGTAACGATTAAGGTTCTAGGCTGGTAACCTTGATTCTTTAAAATACTTCTGTAACAAAATGTGAAGGAACTCTTGCACTTTGGTTTTGGAAAATGGAAACGTTCAATTCTTTTTCAGGCGCGTTCAGGTAGCAGTCAAGTTTCAACAAAATAGAAGAGAAAAATAAATGGTGACATAACTGTACAAAGAAAACAATAACACAAGTGATATTTCGTGGCATATCCTTAGAAATGAGTAACTGCCCTATCATTTTCTGTACATGTATACTCTGAATGTTTATCAGATTTCTTTAGGACGAATACTCTGCCATATTTGATATACTATTTCAAATAATTTGTTATTATTTCTAAATTGTGCGGTTTTCAATTTTTATGGTAAATAATTCTAAAGGTTTTC